TATTTTATTTTCCCCGTTACTTTTACTAAAGAGTTTGGTTTTTTCAGTGTTATTGCATATCTGGGGAGTTGTCACGTTTTTTCTTGATAAGCAAAGCACCTTTACAGCAAAGCAATGATTTACTTCACCATGATTTTAACTTTATCTTTGCTATGCCGAGAAGCTGAGCTTATTCGGATACGGCCCTTATCTCCGTCTCTGTGCTCAGCGGAGATGGAATGTGGTTTAGGAGAAAATTGCATCTCCCCCAAAATACAATGGAACAATATTTTCTATGAGAGCTTTCCTTTCATTTTCCTTGAATCCACCCTCAAACGAGAGAACACACGGAGTAGTGCCTTATGTGCTGTGTTTGGGCATGGCTGTGTCTCTCTCTCATAATCAATAGACTACATACCTAAAGGGCACAAAATAAAATTACAAAGTCTTCCCTCCTTTCCCTGAGCAGCTCCCAACGAGGGATGATGAGCAAATCCTGCAGCCTGCTGGAGTGCAGCGTGGTGCACCTCGATGGCACAGAAGTGGAGGTAAACGTGAAACATCACCTTCCCTTTTTCTTTTTTTCTTTTTTCCTCATCTTTCCTCCTTATCTCACCTTACCTCTGGAGCCGATGGTTGCCCGCACCCTTTATGCCTGTGCGTGCACTCAGCTCGCTCCATCAGCAACGTGGGTTAGTTGTTGTAGTTAATGAGAAGACTCCTGTCTGATTTTCTATCTAATTACGCCCTCCTGCTGGGTTTTTGTACAGGATATTCGCTCAGCATGCTGGCAGTTAATAGTCACAGAGAGGATCGTAAAGATTTAATTAGGACTGCATGCGGAAACGTGGAAAAACAACTCAGACTTTTAATTACTAGACTTCTTTAGTTAAAAGTGATACCAGGGGTTACTTTATAAGAGACTTGGGTGTTTTGGTGCAACTTAACTTTCCGTGTCTCTAGCTGGTACGTAGTAGCAGCGTGAGTGAGGAGGAGGAGGAGGAGCGGAGGTGTGTGTGCAGGGAGGGGAAAGGTGATGAGTTTCCAGATATACTTGGAAAATCTGGAGAGGAAGATTCCCCTCCCTTCCCTCCTCCAATAATCTGATAGCATGAAGCTTCCTAAGTACTACCTTTAACCACCTTATTCAACTTCTGTGGATAGGTCTGAGTGAAAACCTTAAAAACTGAGCTCTATTTTTTTCCGTCAAAGAACCTACAGAATCTGAATTTCCCCTCCATTTTTCCTTCACCGAATCCTTTATTACTGTAATCCTACTTTAACCCAGCCGGTGGGAAAAATATCTGGGAGTGCAATGGTGGATTTTTTCCAGAGTCCCTATTAGATGATGCAAATTTTTGCTCAATGAGTAGGTCTTGGCTTCTCTGTTCTCGGTCTGAAGGTTGTAAATCGCGGATTGAAAATTCCTCTCGAGAGGGGCAGCAATAGCAATACAGTGTGTCCTGTTTACAATAACAGAGCGCTATCGTGTTACAATCACTTAATTCTAGCCCTGGACAATGGCTCACACATGGGCTGGATTTGGTGTTTATAAAATAACCACTGTTTCTTGCTGTCACGCACTCTCTTTCTCTGTCTCTTTCTCCTCAGCCCAGCCCATTCTCATGGCACATATTTGATCAGACATGCATAAGCTACAGCAAAGAGAAACATCTTTAGCCAAGTGCACATCTAGATATCCGTTCAACTTTTTGGACTAATGAAATAAGAAAAACCCAGTATTTGAAACCCTTCCTGAAAATTATATGGTAGTGATGGTGGATAATGAGTATACGTCGCCTGAATAAAAATTCTCCTTGCTAGAAAAGGTTCCTCGAATCTACAATAAATCCATGTTAAATATCAAGATGGAAAAGTGCCTAACTTCGTCTGTCACTATGGAGGGACAAGAATAGAAAATGCTGAGTGGCAGCAGCGAGTTCTGGGCTGCTTTCCCTCCTGCCTGCGTTAACTTGCAGTTGGACACCTCTTCCTTCACGTGTTTCTCCTTGGGATACCCTCCTCTCCCCCTTCCCCTCCTCCACCAACCTGGGAACAAACTTTCAGAAATGAAGGGCCTGTTTAATTTCCTGCTGTCTCAGTACCCCAATCCAAGACCCCCAGCCCTGCAGGTCTGCAGCCTCGTCTGTCCCATCCTATCCTCGTCCCATCGCACCCACCCTGGCCCCGCCAGCCCCGGCGAGCAGGTCGCGGGTGGTCGCGGGTGGTCCCGATGCTCTCAGAGCATCGGGGGGAGGCACTTTCCACCAGTGCAGTGCCCTTCCCGCAGAAGGGATGTTTTATGGGGAAACGGATGGAGAACTGCTTTATTTGAGCTTCTTATTTCCTATTATTTCTTCTCTCCCTTTTCTTTATGTCTTTCTCTCTTTCCCTATCCTTCCCCTCCTTTCCCTCTCTATCTTCTTTCCTCTCTCCTTTCGTCATTTCTGCATGTTATCTTTTTCTTCTTTTTATATCTTTCCTTTCCTTCCCTCTCCTCTGTTTTACTCTCTTTCTCACAAAAGCACAATTCTCACAACAATTTCTCACAACAATTACCGGCTATTCTTTGGGGAAAGTGTAAATATCCAGGCACAAACAGTACGTAACGCCTATCGGCTGCAGAGAGGAAGGAGGAGAGCGATCTGCTTTCTGCATTCACAGAGGTAAAACTCGCCTTGACTTGCAAACCACTTTGTCTGAGCCAGGAATGCGAGACGAGACCTGCGCATCGCACCCGCGGCGCCCAGGGGCTGCCCCCAGGTCTCAAAGCCACCTCGGAAACCCGCAGGAAGCAGCGACCCGACGGTCACTGGGCTCGGAGGCAGGAGCATATACAGACAGCAAAACCTTCCGTTTTCTAAAACATTTCGCCCCAGCAAATCTGGGGATTTCCCCGTGCAGCCCTAAGACAAGCCTCAAGCCAAAGCAATGCATCCCCTTCGCTTTCCTGACGCTGATTCCTCTCCTGTTCACCAGCATCCATTTTCACGGCTATTTTTTATCTCTCCAGCTCCTCTTTCCCCCTTTCTTTTTCCCTTTCTGTAGCTTTGAAGTCGTTATTTCATTCAGTGGTCCATACCTTTATCTATCCCAAGACTAAATGCATATACAGATATGATATATGATAAAGAGATTTTGTAGAAAGAATATATAAAAACGCATGGAGGGAACCCCCAAAATCCCGATTAGGAGAGCCTGAGACAGGACTTGGACCCTGGAGGCTCCAGCCCCGCCTCGGGGGTCCCCACGGGCTGGCCATGCCCTGCTCCAGCAAGGTGCAGACCGCCCCAGCAGCGAAGCTGTTAAAGGGTCCTTCTGTTTTTAGGGAATAACACGTGATGATGAGTTTCGCGTGGGATGGAAGAAACCTGCTAAATAATGTGCTTTGAGCCCGGCGAAACTCCTTTGTTATCCAAAAGAGGGAATGAAACTATTTAAAATCAGCGCTGCCTTACCAAGCACACGTAACAAATGAAAGGGTGGGGGGACGGACAAGGAACTTGCTCCTGATCACCAGTTATTGCTTTTGATTTGGGTTTTGTTTATAATTTCCCTCCCTCCCGGATAAAAAAATGTAGTAATTCGACAGTTTAATCAAAATCTCTGAACGGCAGGAAATTGGTTGGGGGGAGGAGGGGGAGGGTGGAGGGGAGTGGAAGATGAGATTGCATGGGAAATAACTGGAATTTGAAAAGCCAAGCTTGAACTCTGCCAGCTTTTGAAACACGTGGAATATTTAGAGCAGCATGTCTGCCTTCCCCCTGCACTTTGCTGCTTTGCCATGTAGGGGAGGGTTTATAAAGCAGAGCCTGTGCGTGACAGTGAGGACATAAATTCTCTTATTAAAAAAAAAATAGAAGAATAGAGGGAGAAGGAGGGGGAGTACCACAAAGTTGCAAACGAGGTGTGGAAAAAGAATGGCAACCCACAGCAATATTGCTGAAAATCCCTCAGTGACCATTCCTAACCCAGGGACGGGGGCTGCAGCCGCACTGCCCAGCAGAAAGAAACGCGGTGCCTTACCTGGACCTCCTCCATCCCTGGGTGTCCGATGCCATGCAGAGAAAGGCTGTCCCCCATGCCGGAGTCAAGGCCATGGTGAGCTGAGTGCAGGAGGACATCTGGCCTCCGTACTGAGTGGTAGTCCCGCCTGGGGTCCAGTCCCGAGAGCTGGGGCAGGGCGGCCCGAGGCTGCGGCAGCAGTGACCCGGTTTCTGATCCCACCTCTTGCCTCTGCCTCTGTCCCCAGGGGTGCTGCTGGGGCTGGTGCAAGGGGTTCAGGGAGTAGGGGTCATTGACATGGGAGTAAGGGTCCTGGCTTTGGTGGTAAGGAAGAGGCTGGTAGGGGGGTGGGAAATAAGGCGGCTGGAAATCCGAGGATGGGGTGTGAGAGAGCGGAGGAGCGCTGGAGTAGGGTCCCTGCGAGACGGATCCCAGCTGGGACAGCCTGGAACTGTGGCTGGGCACTCCATCATGCCGGTCCTACAAGCGGAATGACATACAAACGACAACAAAAAAGAGGATCTTTTTTAGAAAAAAAAAAAACAAAACAAAACAACAACAACAACCAAAACTAAAAACAACAACAACAATAAAAAAAACCCCACGAAAAAATCAAACAGAGCACAAACCCACCCCCGAAGCTAAATAAAATAAAATAGGATGTAAATAGCTGGAAAGTGGAATTCAGATGTGCCCCCTTCTCCCTCCACTTATTAGAAACGTTCCAATGTTTTGCACCCACGTCGTGTCTATTCCCAGGAACTATCAAGGAGGAGGAAGGGGAGGGGGCGTGAGGGAGAATTGCTAAATGTCATAATTAAAAATGTAGGAGTAGTGCTCCAAATACATGTACGATCTGCAATTTCAGACCAGTAATATAATTCCCAATCCACAGCCCCCTCAAATCAAACCAAAGGGGAAAAAACAAAATATTAAAAAATTATGAGCACCAAACCACCCGTCTATCCAGACAGATCACCCCTTCTTCTGCCTAAAGTTTCCCAAGACCTGTTTATTCCCTCTGCTCAAGTCCTGTAACTCAAAATCACCAACCCATTTTCACGTGGAAAAGCCCAAAAAGAAAGTTGCACTTCTCGGAAGACTCCGAGGTGAGAAGTTGTGTGAAAAAGGACTTGGGAAAAAAGAAAAAAAGAAAAAATAAATAAAAAAAAAGCCAAAATAAAAATTACAGGGACTCTTTGCTTAAAGGGAGTCTACACCTTAAAAATAAATTAAAAAAAAATCAAATAAAATAAAAATGAAACATCGGTATTGAACAAATCCAGGCGCTATGATATCTGCAGCAACTTCCAGTGCCTTTTGTTTCCTTTTCCAATATTATATTCCGGAGAATGGGGTGGGGGTTAATTGTAATGAAAAGTCTTTGGGGTGTGTGGGGGGGACAGGGGGTGGGGGGAGTGTGTGGAGGCTTCAGAGAAAAGGTGGGAGAGGAGTTTTGTCCAACTCCAACGCACTGAAGCTGTGAGGTTAAAGTAAACAAGAAAAATATCTATTCCACAAAGTGTAGTTCAAACCCCCACAAGCAATGGCACACATGGCATAAAAAAACCAATTCAAAAAAAAAAAAAAAAAAAAAAAAAAAAAAAAAAAAAAAAAAAAAAAAAAAAAAAAAAAAAAAAGAAAAAGAAAAACAACAAGGAAAAAAAGTTCTTTTTCCCCCTGCTCTCCCCCCCCAGACTCCCCTAGCTCAAATCGGGAACACACAATGCAAAAAGGGAGAAGCAGCTGCAAGCCTCCTCCAATTATTGTGCTAAATTACCAAGCCAAAGGCGTTTAAAAAGACAGAGAGAGGGAGAGAGAGACACAACAGATCGAGAGAGAGAGAGAGAACATGCAATTCTAGTACAACATGGATCCAAACTCACCATGGCGGAATAGGTGTGGACTAACATCTGGAAATAAAAAAAGTCTTGTAATAGCTAAAAATAAAATAATGGTGATAATACTAACAATTGGAGGGAAAAATATCAAGGAGATCTGCAAAGGGACGTGTTGGACACAGGAGAACAGCTTGAGATATTTCGAAGTCTATCCATCAAAAAA